GCTGCGCCCCTTTCGGCGCCGCTGCGCGCGGGGCCGGGGGGAAGTTCGTTTATTTTCCCGTCTTTTAAAATGACTCTGTTGCTCGGCCCGTCGTTCAGCGGCTGAAACGGGGCGCGGGTTTCTGCGCGGGTAACGTGTGTGTCCTGCAGCGCCGAGTATGAGATACCTGGTTTCCTCTATTAACTGAGGGTAATTTCTATGTTTCCGGAAGAAAATAATAATAACTATTTCAGCTTATATAATCAAATAATCTAGTGAAATGACTTTGTGGGTTTTGTTGTTGTTGTAATATTTGTTTCTTTACGGATGCGTCAAAAAACATTACACTTGAATTCTCTGTTTTACTTCAAGAATATTGTTCCACTACTCATTATTTCTTACTCCTGGGCCGTTTTTACCATCCTGGCTGTTAGATCAAATAGCTGGAGGCTCCATCGATGTTGTTTTACCTTCCTTGGGGGCTTTTCTCACTGTTGCGTGACAAGAAAAAGCCCCTTGAACACTGAACCTCAGACCTGGGAAGGGCTGCTTAAAGCAAAGACTCTGGAAAACTTTCCAAAATGCAGTATTTGCAGTAGCAGCAGGCTTTGAACAACAGCAAAATATTGGTGTGTTCTAATGCTGGGATTTTCCTCCGAGCTGGATCTTTCTCTTATGTTTTAGTGAAATGCAGCTTTCCCCCACCCAAAGAAAAAAGTAAAAAATAAAAAAAAAATAAAGGCAGGTAAGAGCTGAGTAGATAAGATAAAGCTGTAGCACAGTGAATCGTTTTTATCCCTTTCCGTGTTACCTAAAAGCCCCTAGATGTGCCTGCCTCTCTCCCAAGGAAATTTAATTATTCATGTACATGTTTTCTAGCTTAACGCCAATCCCACAGTTATCCCCCTTAAAAAAAAAAAAAAAAAAAAAAAACCCAAAGAAAACAAGCTTGCTCAGAAGCCTCCAAAGAACGATGAAGGTGAGGATAGCATAAAATGCATCAGACGTGGTCATCCTAACCCTCGGTGCCGTTTCTCCCCAGCGATGTACAGCAGTCTGTGCGTGTGCGTGCTCCTCGCCGTGCTCTCGGCGAGCTCCTTCGGACAGCAGAGCGCGGGCTCGCGCGATGGGAGCGCCCTGGCTGCCGAGCTGGAGCAGAGCCTGACAGAGCGGCACCGGCCCGTCCGCGCCCCGTCCTCCGCCGGCCCGCTGAAACCCGGCCCGCGCCTGGACGGAGGCATCGACCAAAGAGCCAACATCGGCGCCTTGTTGGCCAAGTATCTCCAGCAAGCCAGAAAAGGTACCGGTAACAGCCTGCTCCCTGTGCCGCCTCCTGGGGCGGTGGAGTTTGCTTCAGGGATACCGAGATGTTGAGGGAATGCTGTCATCATCCAGCATGAATAACTACAGAAGAGAGGGTGTCGATTTTGCTCAGTTATTCCTGAACTAAAGAGCGTTTGCTTTTTCTGTTGTTGTAAAATGCCAGAATGGTTTGTCTGTAGCATCCCCTGACTGAGAGCTGGGTATAGGTAACAAACAAAAAAAACCCCCTGCCTGTCAGGTTCTAGCTGAGGGGCTTTTTTTTAAGTTTATTTGCACAGCCTTATTATTTTTGTATGTTTCATATAATATTTATCTCACCTGAAACCTAATGATTGCATTTTCTTGAAACTTTTTCACTGAATTAGCATCCCTCTCTTTTTTTTTTTCCTCCTGAGTGAGCAGAGTGCGAGACTAAACACAGACCAAATGGCTAATCTTACCTCATCCAGAAATATCCACAGCAGGGAAGTCTTCTAAGTGTTGGACTTCCATGTACAGTTTTTTTTTTTTTTTCCCAGGGGAAGTAAAAGAGAACAAGCTTTTGAAAGATCAGAACTTGCATTCATGAACATGGTGGCTAAAAGCCATGCTAAAAGCACGGTGGCTGAAAGTGGTAAATACACATATTGCTTCAAAATATGCCAATTCTTATTGAGTTTTGAGTCCCAGGCAGCCTTGGGAGTACAACAGAATCTTGCAGTTACTTGCAAACCTCCACAGTGCTGCATTTGTAAAAGGGGCATCAAGCACGGGTAGGAATAGTGGAATTTGAGATGTTTATTTATTTTTAACCAGGTGATATATTAGTCGTTTAAGGAAGAAACTGTATTATATACCTGAACTAGTTAGAGAGAGAATAAAGCCGTATAATAAAAGTATGCATTTTATATGCACTGAAACATATGCTGTCTGTGCTATCAGGAGAGATGATGGATCAGAATCATTGCATGGAGTTCTCCATCTCCATTTCCCTCCCTCCCCTTCTGTTTCTGCCCCTTTCTTCCCGCTTCCCCCCCAAAAAAGAAGACATTTTCCTTTTTGAAGCATCTGATCTGTGTATTGCTTTGTAGCTTAATAGAGAAGTGCTGATTCTGCTATGGGGAGAAAGATGTCTGCCAACCTTAGCAAAAGCCACCACACAACCTAGGGATTTGCACAAATCTTGCTTAATTGCTGTAGCTTTAGTCTGGTCTCTCTCCAGTGTTGCAAGGAAAAGAGATGTCCTAGAAGCATAGAGGGCTGAAAGGAGAGGCACTAACTGTGATGACCAATTACTTCACTTGCAGACCTAGGCTACATTTAGGATGAAGCTCCCTTTAAGCAAAGGCTTTCTCCTCTCCTGTGTCTCTCTCTGACTTTGTGCAGTTCACTTCAGCCTCCCCTCTGATTGATAGCCTCACCACTGATCCCTGTGCTAGGCAAAGTCTCTTAATTTTGAAGGAGCTCTGCAGTTAAGAGATGACACCTGTTTTATACTAGTGCATGCTGACACACACACTCATTGGTATACATGGAGCATAATCAAATTAGAAACAACCAAAAAAAATAATTTTGTATTCTGTGAGACTTCATCTCCTGTTAGCAGTTCCTACCGTGTCTGTGAAGGAACTCATTTTGGCAGTACATATCTCCTAATGGAAAGGCAGTTCAGACTGAAAGTTACATAATTCGGTACTGTAGTTAAAGGTGTTGCTGAAGCAGAATCTTCATCACCTTTCTGCAATGGAGTCATTGTTACTCAATTCCATGGAAATCGAGCTCATTCTAGTTTATGTGGCCTCTTAAATTTTTGGCTGACATTTCCAAAGAGCTTAAACAGGTGAAGGGGAGAGGAGAAAAAAAAAAAAGGATTTAAGCCATATTTTTCCAAGCACTTCATAAGGGAGAATTTCTTGCATTCATGTTTGCAGATACATAATTAACCCTACAAAGACACTGTTAGCAAATGATGAGATTCTTGTGACATTGCTAAGCTAATTGGACTCTGACTTGCAAATAAACTTGTTAGCAGAGAGGAGGCAAAGCAGTATATTTTTAACTTATAATAAGGCAGATAGTGGCCTGTGAAGTGTGTCAGAATCCAACCATTGTTATGTTCCCATTTAGCACAAAGCTTCTGAACACTTCAGAAATGTCTACAAAACCTGTCTGCTCCATTAGTCACTTGTGACCCTCTGTCCAAATCATAATACACACCAGAAAATTCCATTGAGGGGAAAAGAACATTTGCTAGTTTTGCAACTATCAGTGATGGCATTCACCTTTACAACTAATAAAAGCTCATTTTAGCCAATATATTCAGTGATAACAATGAGAGTTAGATCCTCTCAGGACATGAGAGCTATACAGCAGCATCTTTGCTCAGCTTCTACAATTTTGCAGCTGTTCATCCTACATTGATTCTGCAGTATCCACAGGACACCTTCAGTGATTTGAGGAGAGGTAATTAAGGTGCTGTTATGAAATTCATTTCATTATGTGTGACCCCTAGCTTTCAATTAGCTTCATCTGCAGGTTTGCAGTGTGAATCCGGCTCCGTGCGGACAAGACACAGTAGCTGTCAAGTCAGCAGCGCAGACACTCATTATCCTCCCCGAGCCCTTGCCAAGTCAGAGCAGAGCAGCACCGGGGAGCCATCACAGCCCCCAGGGCACTGCAGCCTCACAAGTCTCCTAAATACCAACACCTGAGCGATGGCGCCGCTCTGCCCTAGCACTGCCAGACCGTAGTGCCAAGAAGTCGTTCTCATCATCTGTAGTTCCGTAATCTGAATTATGTATGTGAAGTTCCTGCATTTTGAAGGTTTAGTGGTCGATAATATTTTGCCCATTTTTGGGGGGGGCAGAGAGTGGGGAGGAATAGCTAAACATTGCTGCTCTGTTTTTATGCCACTTCTTGTTCTTTTATCCCTCTTCAGCTACTGAGAAAGCAATGTGGATTTGTTTATTTTTTAGTGAATTATCTTCATTAGAAATCATTTTATGATAAAAACCTTGAAATATAAAAGCACAAGTCAGCAGATGTTCAAAACACAAGTTGCTTGTGTTTAAAACGCAAGCAACTAAGCAAAATAAATGTATGGATTTGGATTTGTGGCCTTTGGCCTTTCTGAACAGTTTAAGTGCCTCTCAAGTCTTGGTCTGAGTTAAATATTGTTAATCTGTTGAACCTGTTCTCCCTCACTCAAGGATTAGCCTCATCTTAATTGCTGGTATATGTTAATTCTGGCTGTTTTCTGGGAGCACAGAGAAAAGTAACCCTTTTATCTCATTTTTAGTTACACAATGTGATGATATCAAGATATCCAGTCATCAAGCATGACTTTTTAAAGTATAAAACTACCTTGCAAATAATTCGGGTTTTCCATCTCCTTGGTTGACTCTGCAACATGTCTGCCATGACCAGCAAACAAGGGTGTGTAGCAAGAGCGAGAATCAGTCTGGACTTTCTTCAGCTCTGTAGCGAGGTGGTGTAGTGATTCTGTATATAGAATTGTTACAGTTAGAAGAGACCTTCCTCAAGTCGAGCCCTAAACTCATCACCCCCATGCCTGCTAAACTGTGTCCCTAATCACAGAATCATAGAATCGTTAAGGTTGGAAGGGACCTCTAGAGGTCATCTAGTCCAGCCCCCCTGCACACGCAGGGTCACCTAGAGCACGTGGCACAGGACTGCGTCCAAGCGGGTTTTGAAGATCTCCAGAGAAGGAGACTCCACAGCCTCTCTGGGCAGCCTGTTCCAGTGCTCTGGCACCCTCACTGTTAAGAAGTTTTTCCTTAAGCTCCTGTGGAACTTTTGGTGTGCGCCTCATCTACACGGTTCTCGATCGCTGCCAGGGATAGTGACTCCACCAATTCCCTGGGCCTGTTGCAATGCTTGGCCACTTTTTCCATGCCTGCAACAAATCTCTGCTTGGTCCATTTTTTTTGTTTCACATAAAGAAAACAATCATTTTCAGGACTTTTTGACATTTTTCCCCAATGCTATGATAGTAATGTTACGTGGTCTGCAAAAGTCAGGCAGTTTCAACTGTTGTGTATCAAATACAAAACAGAAAATGGATGAATCCGAGAAACATGTCCAATTATCCTCTCTCTTCCTCATCTTTTCTGTAGGTCCCAGTGGAAGGATCTCAGTTATGGGAAACAGGGTACAGAGCTTCGATCCTACGCATAGGATAAATGACAGAGACTACATGGGCTGGATGGATTTTGGACGCCGCAGTGCTGAAGAATATGAATATTCCTCCTAAAGAACCACAAACTATAGCAACAGAAAGAAAAAAAAAATCTAACAACTCCCATGTCTGTACAGAAGGAGAAAAATTAATTTGTTGTTCTCTTCAAATCAGTGTTTTAAAATATATTATGTACTTGATGTAAATTTGTCTGTAAGACTATACAATGCAATATATACATATGCAGAATTTTCCAGGAAATGTTTTCTTTTTTTCTGTGGTTTCTCATACTCTGATATTGAATTAAAATTATTTCACATATCCCTTCTTGTCCTGTCACCACACATTGCTGGGTACCTAACAACACAGGGTGGCAGGAAAATGCCCTCATTCTGCAATGTAAATATATTCCATCTGTTAAATAGTCAGATGAACGACCCCCTTTATAAAGAAATCCTGTAATAATCACAAGGACTAAAGGACTCTAAGGAAACCCATCCAAATATAAATACGGTAGGACAATATTGCCAGAAAAGGCCAACTACCTTCATGGCAACCCCATGTGGAAAGGATTGAGCTGCACACCAAACCCTCCTGCTTGTAGCTAATAGTGCTAAAAACTAAAATTATACCAACAATATATTTCACCTTCTTGGCTTATTTATTTTATATTGTGAACTAAATGTGAAAATTCTGCTCACAGCTACGAATCATGGAATAAATAGACCATTCCTTGCCTTGCGGTGAGTTGAACGTTCCTTTGGGCGGGGGGTGAGGAAAAGCTGATGTCGAGAGAGCGGGGAGGAGCCACTGGAGCAGGTTTCATTGCAAAGTCCTTGAAGGAAGCAGGGCAGAGATCTCCGCGCTCCCAGCTGGAGAGCAGCTCGTGCTTGTCCTGAGCCCGGGGCAGAGGCAGCGCCTCCGCGGGGCATCTGCCCGTGGGCCCCTGTGCCGTCGCTCTTGCCTGCTGGAGGGCAATAGCTATTTTCACAGCGGTTAATAGATAAAAAAAAAACAAGGTGCAGAGAATAATAGAGAATAATCAGACTAAACCAAAACACCAAAACTGAGAAGTTTGGGAAGCAGAAGAGTTAGGCCAGCTGCTGAGCCCAGCTAAAACAACCGAACACTTGGGGAAGTTGTTCCTAGCACGAGCTGAGGCACCACCAATAGGCAGCGCTATAAAGATTTACAATACAGCAAACCCCTCAACAAACGGTAATAGGTAATTTTCTAGTTAGAGCAAATCTCTCTTTTGGGGGCTCTCATCTTGCAAAACTGGTTCAGCTGCTCTTCTTGATGAACTTTGCTTCATCTCAAGCTCCTTCCAGTCAGCCACTTTCCAAGCCTCCTATTCCATCTTTTCTCAGCTCCTTTCCAAACACAATGAGCTGACTGTTCTCCTTACTCTGCATTATTGCCATGGGAGAGCAGTCCAAAAAGCCCATTTTTTTCTCCGACACTTTCAAACAGAAGATTAAATCCAATTAAATATTTAAAAAAGGAAAAGGCAGACTAATGCATACATTAACACATTTACCCAAAGTGATGTGGGGTTTTTTTTTTTTGTAAAAGCAACTTGGGTGGAAAAGTAATTAAAAAAAAAAACCAAAACTCTTAGGAGAGTTTAAGCAACATTAAAAAAATGTTTTTATCCCTGCTGTATTTTTTAAAGAATGTAACGGGTGGTTGTTACTGCAGAATGTCACGTTAGCAAAGAAGCCTCTGCCTTTATTTTCTCTCTCACTTCCTGCAGGTACTGGAGTGGCACAGGCACACACAACTTTTCCTCCTATTTGTCTCTTCTGAAAGTCACCCAAGATGCTCATGAATGTAAAGGGTCCCACATCAACAGAGTTGGTCCTGTCTGTACCTCAAGAGACAAATCACTAAGCAGGCACAAAAAAACACCCTGCCTCCGTCAAGCATCCATCAATGTTGCTTTTGACCAAGCATTTGCTCAATTTAAATCTTGAAAAGGGGAGTTTTGGAAGAGACGGTTTTTTCATGAAAACTACTTTCTTCCTATAGTGTCATCACAGCAGAGCTTGTCTGGTTTCGAAAGTGATTAAGACAGAGCGCTATTTTCTCTGCCAACCCCCTGACAATAGTGTGACAGTTGCATGTAATCACATTTCTGTGTTTTGTGGGTGCTGCAGAGCTTCAGACACAACCTCGTCCTTTTTTCCTTATTTTTCCCTCAGCCACTGCGCCTGCCACTTTTAAAATTTAGACTGTGCCAGGGCTGTAAAATAGGAAAAGGGAATAAAGGAACTTGCAGTGATTCACCCAGAATCCAAATGAGGATTTGAGACATTCTGAATTTAATAACTTGTTACTTATTAAAGTCCTCCTAAGAGACTGTGATTAAGGAAAAAAAAAAAAAAAGCCACTATTTCTCTTTCACGGAATTAGCCCAAATTAGTCTGTATAATCGAAGCAGGCCTTTTGCTATTTGTTATGCTAAGAAAGCTAAATCTCTTGGTGAAGGCGCCCCGTGAGATGAGTGGGACTCCCTCAAGCTGTGGGAATACTGCGTGTGCTGCGATTCCCACATCGTAGCCCCCCTTCTCGGTTCAGTGAGGATCATTCCCAGCCCACGTGTGTATTAGCAGCAAGGCAGAGCTTTAATTTTTCCCCATACAGGAGTCATCACCATACGAGAGTCATCACGAGAGACATCACCACCTGAAACACAGAAACAAGGATTTTGGAGTTTTCAGTCATCTTTGCCTGATTAAATTACTTCAATTACAACTTTATTAATCTAATTCCAAGAAAGGTGCTGGGTAAAACCCTGTGGACAGAGAGGCTTCCTGGAAACATGGAAACATCATGCAGATGGCAGTCATGGAGGGGAGCGGATGTGGCCAATGTTCCCTGTGGGATGGAGAGGAAATCCAGGAAAGAAATTGAGTGGCGCCAGGGGAAGAAGCAGATCTCCCGCGGAGCTGGCGCTGGCAATAAGAGAAATCTCAGATTCTTCCAGCTCACCTGACCCTAGACAGTCTCCTCTGCCTTGAAGTGTCACATACTTAAAACTAAAAAAGTAGTAAAAAAGCAATATTAGGATCACTAAGGTCAGTGCCCAGGTACTAGAGGCAGCTGGAGCTGCCCCTGGCTGCC